CCCCCCCCCGCCACCCCCAGTCCTTCAATCCGCTGCCCACTCACTCTCCACTTGGCCTCCTGGGTTTTCTGCCTCAGGTTACCCTTCCCCCTCAGGCCTGGCCGGCGGGAGAAGCTCCCCAGGGCCCGGGCACTGAGCCACGGCTGGGTGAGGGCGGCTCCAGATGCCGCATTCACAGGCCACCTTAGCGTTTCCTTTTCTTGATCCTTCTGCCTCACTCCTGAATCTGCTGGATTTCTGTGCAGCTGTGACAAAGCTCTCTTTGCATCTCTTGGTGCTGGAGGCCACAGTTGGGAAGCGGTTCCCGGTGTCAACATCCATACGCTTCCTAAACCTCGTGATTCGCCCCACGCCTCCCTCCTCCTGCCCTGATGGTTAGAAACCTGAAGTTTTCATTGTACAGAAAGCAGAGAAGCTCCGTGTGTGTGGCTGGCGCTGTGACGCCGAGAACTCTGCCGCCCTAACCCTCACGGCTTCGGCGCCTTCGCCGGTTCTGAGAGCCTCTTGCTTGCGGTTTTCGGTCCGGTCGTTTAAATGCTTCTTGAGTGACTCTCTTGTGTTGGAGGTTGCGCCCGGGGGGCGACCCTGGTGCCCACGGAGCGCTCCTTGGCCTAGGGCGGCCTCACACCTTGGTCAAGTTCTGGCCTCCTTGCTAGTGACCTGCACCTCTTTGAACAAGAAGGCAAAAAGGGACCCTAAATGGAGGACTCTTCTCTCTAGTCCTTCCGTCCTGTGTTGTCTGTTCGATTGTTTGTTCATTCCTTCATTTATTGCACGAACAGAATTCTTGGTTGTTCCCGAGTCTCTACCACCAGGAGCAGAGACCAGAGCTCTTTCCGGGTACTTTGAGGAGGCTGCGTGCGGTGGGTCGGGGCCCGGCTGGGGTTCGTTAGCCTTGGGATGTCGCAGGTGTGTGGCTCTGGCCTCACAGAGGGCAGGAAGGACGCGCTCAGGCAACACATGGCTTGGGAGAGGCGCCTCCCCTCCGTGTTGGGGCCGCAGCCCATGGGGACAGCGTCCTCCTGATGAGCAGTGTACTCCAGGGTCAGCCGCCTCACAGCCGGGGTGCTTGCCTCACCCAGTTTGTTCCGTGTGGGCTTTTATACTTTGAGGAAAAGATGGATTTTTTTAGCGCAGCAAGGCCATGTCCAGGGAAAGTTACTGGAAAGGGGTACAGATGTCAGAAGTGTGCGTTTGAGCTGCACACCGCGGCCCCCCCCCCAGGTCTGGTGGGGAGTTGCAGGGGCTTCCTCTCCTGCGGGTAGTGGCGGGTCCGGCTTGCTGTGTCACCCTAACGGCTTATGCAGTCCGAGGCCTGGGCCAGCTCTCAGTTCAGTGGCGTTGCTGAAAAGGTCCGTTCTGAAGAAACCGTGTGCAAGCATGTGGTCTTGACTTGGAAGCTCCCAGGGCCGCCTCCCGGGACAGGGAGGCTGCTGCTTCCGCAGGCTCCCTTCTCTTTGGCCGCCCTTCGAACACAGGTGCTCCCTGGAGCCCCCAGGCCCAGCCCTCCCCGCGCTGGGGGTCTTCCCACCCTGTTTTGAGGGCTTGGGCGGGACCAGAGGCCACTCGGCTCGGGCCAGGGTCGCAGGCTCTTGTCCTTGGAGCCCGGAGACCTCTGCCTCGGACGGCCACAACCGGTGCCCTACAGCACCCTGCCCGGGGACCTCCGCTGTGGGGCAGGTGGGGGGAGGCGCATCCGGCTGCTGGGCAGGCAGAGGTGCCCTCGAGTGTCCTGCTTCCTGCTCACCTCTGCTCCGGGTGGGCCACCAAGTCCTCTCAAGTCCTGTTCAGTGAGCCCCTGCCTGGTGCCGGCTCGTGGGTGCCACCTGGGCCATCGAGCTCACTGGCCCACAGGTGGTCCCAGGGCCATCACTCTGATCCGTCTGTCACGCCAGCCACCCAGAGTGGTTTTTTAAAACACAGACCTGACCGTGTTACTTACTTGCTTATTAAAAACCCATGAGCCTTTTCGAGGGAAGCGGTTGTTGGTCTCGCTTGTTCCGTCACCACCGGCCCAGTGCCTGCGTGCCGTGGGGTCTGCCTCCCACGTGGCCTTGTGTGCATGTGGCCGTGCCCGGCGCAGCCTGAAGGGGCTCGCGGCCCCCCCCCAGTATCATCCTGTGGGAAACCTCTGGGCCGTTGTCTGCGGCTCCTTTTCTGCTGTCACCACTCGGTGCCACTTGGGGTTCCCTCCACAGACGTGTCAGTGAGTCAGGGCAGAGTCTCCCCCTTCGTTGTGGGAGCCACAGCCGCGTAGAAAAAGGCACGTGGTGAGAGCAGGGAGCGGGGCCCTGCCACCGGGAGCCCCGCCTGACCAGCTGTCTCCCCCTCCCCAGCTCGCTGCCACAGGGCAGAGACCGGAGCAGCCCCCCCCCGGAGACGAGGCTGCGGGAGAGGCAGGACGGGGAGCCCGGGGAGCCCGGGGAGCCAGACCCCGAGCAGAAGCGGAGCCGGGCCCGTGAGCGCAGGCGGGAGGGCCGCTCCAAGACCTTCGACTGGGCCGAGTTCCGCCCCATCCAGCAGGCCCTGGCCCAGCAGAGAGCCGGTGCCCCGGGGCCTGCCACCACACGGCCCGAGGCGGAGCCTGGCGAGCTGGAGAGGGAGCGTGCGCGGCGGCGAGAGGAACGGCGCAAGCGCTTTGGGGCGGTGGACGCGGCTGACGGGCCCAGCATCGACGACACGGCCCTGCGCATGGAGGTCGACCGGGGCCCGGGGCCGCCCGCGACTGCCGACCTCAGGACCCAGAACGTGCACGTGGAGATCGAGCAGCGGTGGCATCAGGTGGAGACCACCCCTCTCCGGGAGGAGAAGCAAGTGCCCATCGCCCCCCTGCACTTGTCCTCTGAGGATGGAAGCGACCGACTGTCCACTCCCGAGCTGACCTCTGTGCTGGAGAAGGAGGTAATGGCCGGGCGGCACAGGCGAGGCAGCTCCGTGCAGCCACCTTCCCCGGCACCCGCTGTGCCTAACTCGCCCCAGGGGCTTGCAGGCCCTCAGGCAGACAGACACGCGACAGCGCCCCCCGCCGAGTGCAGTGCAGGCCTGAGGCATGCTGGGGTGGGGGGTGGCAGGGAGGGCACCGGGCCCTTCTGGAGGCCAGAGGTGCCAGAGATGAGGCGGGTGGGCTGCAGGCCAGGTGGGGCCCCGTCTGCCCTGCTTCCGCCACGCACTAGAGGCTGGGGGCAGAAGAGGCACGTGAAGAGGGTCAGCTTTCCGTCTGGACTAGGCAGCCCTGCAACCCTCAGTGAGACCTGACGGGTGCAGGGCAGGCAGCAGGAGGCGGGGCTGATTCTAGGTATTGGGGGGTAGGTCGGGCCTGCTGGTGAGCCTGGCACGAGCCTCCTCCAGATGCATAGGTGGGTGAGCGGTCCCTGCACTTGGTAACGTGACATTTCCCTTCACGAGGAAGCACCCAGAAGTCAAATCTGCAGAAGCTGGGCTGTGGGTTTGCGAGTCTGAACAGAGGTGCCACAGCCAAGGAGGCGGAGTTACACCTGCCTCTCAGGAGCCCTCAAGGATGCGATTCACGTGCGCGCTTGCCTTGGGTGACTGACTAAATCACAGCTTGGCCACTGGCCTGCCTTCAGTTCTCGTCCTCCTCTTATTTGGTTAGATTCACGAGGCTGACGTTTATCAGTAGCATCAACACTTGGATTTTTTCCATTTTCTACGCCCGTTAATACAGTAATAGAGGCAAGATGTGGAGAAGTAACAGTTCAAACTCACGTTGCTCTAAACAGCCAAAACGAGCCTGCAAGTCAACAGGCCACACACTGGACCCTGAGTTTGTTTCAGACAGCAGGGTCTGAAAACCAAGGTCCGCATGCTGGTCAGCACAGTCTGCTGCACACCCAGCTCCCTGCTGGCCACGGCCCAGCAGCTGAGGGCACGTAGGTAACGTTCCCGAAAGGGGCAGATGGGTGACGGCTGGGTTCACAGCCATTGACAGCAAGAGTGTGAAGCGGCTCAATTCTTGACCTCTTCTCACAGACGGAATTTTATATGAGATCCGTTGTATCCAACTGGTCAAACAGGGTTCCCCAGAAGCCAAGGTGGAGCCTGGCGTGAGGCCTGCCCTGGGGCAGCATGGGCGTGCTTGGCCACGCTGAGGACACCCAAAGGACCCAGTGGGCAGTCTTCCCTCTGACAGGGGCACGAAGTTGTCATTTCCTGGTGGGGTCTGCACCTGGTGGATCCTCAAGCAGGTGTGGAGCTTACGTGGCTGCCCAGGTCGATTCACAGCTTGAGCCGGAACCCTGGGTGAAGACCCGACGAGCACATCCACCCAGGTGTGGCCGCCTGCAAGGCCCTCGGCGGCGCCACTGAGCTCCATCCAGCCCAGCTGGAATCGGGCACACCACCGAGCGCCTGTGCTGTGCTGTGCTCCTGTTACCGCCATTTTGCTTAAAAACGTGTGTCTTTTTGCCAACAGTTGGAGCAGAGCCAGAAGGAGGCCTCAGACCTTCTAGAGCAGAACCGGCTGCTGCAGGACCAGCTGAGGGTGGCTCTGGGCCGGGAGCAGAGCGCCCGGGAGGGCTATGTGCTGCAGGTAGGGCTGCGGGGCCTCCACGGCCCTCCAGGCGCCCTCGGGCTTCAGTGTGCAGGACCCAGGCAGGCTAGGAACGTGCAAAACCGAGTGCCAGGCGTCTGGACTCCTGTGCCACTGGCTCCCTGGGCAGTGGGCTGCCTGGGTCTCCTCCTTGTGCAACAAGTTGGAGGATCTGCCTGAGCCCTCTACGTCGAAGGGTTTTTTAGATGTTTTCAATAGTAGTCTTTCTCTTTGGCTCCGAAAGAGTCCAATATATATTTATTATCAATATCACATGTTTGCATGTTGTTTCTAACTTTTTTCACAATGGCAGCATCAGTCGCATTTTACAAATTTAAGAACTTGAGTAACAGCCACATGCCTCCTTTTATGGCCAAGCCCATGGCAGAGCTAGGACTGGTTTCCTGCCCCTGACCGTGTCTGTACCACACCTACAGGGCAGCCTGGGGCTGTTAACCACTAGCCTAGTGGCCCATTTCTTACTTTCTGCCTAGGCTGAAGTTTGAGGGGGAAACATGGCCGCCCAGCCCTGAGCCAAGCTGCCCAGTGGTGTGGAGAGGAGGGAGGGCAGCAGCCTGAGTCCTGAGCTGAGAGTCCAAACCTAGCGTCTTCCTGCAGAGGCCTCTGTGCCAGAGTGCCGCCCCCCATCCCCCGCATGCAGCAGCGGGCATGCCGCAGGCATCTTGCCAGGCAGGAGGTCACCTGGATGGAGCAGGCCGATGTGAGCCAACTCTTCTGCCGCGTTTCAGGCCCTGCTCTAGTTCTGGGGTATAAAACAACACTCTCCTGCCCCCTCAGCCAGTGTGCAGTGGGGAGAGGTGACTGACAGATGAGTGCCGGGGGGGGGGGGGGAAAGCAAGACAGGGCGATGGGGCGGAGAACTCGAGCTCTTGGCCAAGACTGAAGGCACAGCATTCAAGTCAGGGTCCTGCACTGACCAGAACCCGCGGTGCCCCCTCCCCTGCAGCATCAGCCTCCTTGCCTGTGTAGACCTAGACTTCGTCCCCGAGGGCTCTTCAGACTCTCAAGGACCCAGAATCTCTGTGATAAGTTTCTGCATCAGCATTTCCAGACTGCAGCACACTGGCTTCCTTGGTCCGAGTGGATCTTCTGGGCGGGGTCTGCCCTCCTACCTCTCTCCATGCCCTTTTTGTGGCACGTTTCTTCTGCCTTCCTTTCCCCCCCAGCTTTGGCCATGGCCCTGGGCACCCCCTGTCCCCTGGACCCTCCTCCTGAGCCCTTCAACCATAGTTGTCGCCATGCCCAGTTCAGACTCTGAGGTACCGGAACCTGGTGATGGGGGGGCACCCCTCTTTCCTGCGTGTCTCACTCCGGGGCCTTCTGAGTCATTTGTGCAGACCCCGCAGGTTTGGGAAGCATCTTTTTAAACCCTGGTTGGGCCGCCATCCTACACGCACTCATTTCACACCAGGTGGTAAAAATCCTGGCGGCAGAGTTTGAACATTACTACCCTGTCCTGTGTCTGACCTGGACGATTGCATGAGCCCGCACTGAAGCCCGTCCGTCAGCTGACACGCTAACACCTCCCCGCCAGGTCAAAGGACGGTTTACTTTTAACCTCCCTATGTGCTTTGACAGTTCTTATAATCAAAAGTCTGAATGAGCAAGGGGCTTTGGGGTTAAGGGTGAGAAGGATCTGCAGCTGGGGGTGGGCTCCGCACCGATGGCCGGGAGGAGCTGGCAGGGTGTGGACGTGGAGTGTCTAACTTAACCGTAACTGAGTGTCACATCTGTGGCTTCCCCACCAGCACACCTGGAGGGAGCCACAGGCAGGCCAGTTCTTAGGCTGAGCTGTTCTCACTCCTTTCACGTTCTTCTTTTTTCCTACGTTAATTAGTTCTGTCTATTCTGCATGCCTTTTAGTTTGGGGAGTTTTGTTTCAATTGTGTTTTATTTTCTGCATGCTTCACTTTCTTATTTTGAATGCCACAAAGGTTTGTTTGTTTTGTTAACTCTCATATTTCACTCCACGGTTTGCGTTTTCCCCTTGGTTTTGTCTTCTTGCAGGTAGAGATTAGTTCTTCCTGTTACTGTAGGGGACGGGCCCCACCTCTCACAGGAAAATGTTTCGATGTCACCTCGCTGACACGGTGCCTCCCTTCCTTCTCCCCTGTCCCAGAAGGAAGTGGCGGCGTCACCGGTCCTGCGCTTTGGTGGGGTTTGTGGTCTGGAGCTGTGTGCCTTTTGTTTTGCAAAACAAACAAACGGATGCTTTGCTCTGCTCCTGCCCGTCCCTCTTGCTGGAGTCTCTCGTCCCTCAGTCTTCGTTTTGCTTATCAGTGTGCTCCATTATTCAGTTTTGTTTGGTTTATTTCTCCTAGAAGCTATTCGGTTAGAGCTGTTTTGAATGTTAATGTCCATGTTTTCTGTTTACCTGGAAGCAGCCACTTAACAACAACAACAAAAAAAACTGAGACGATTTGTTAGTTTTTCTTTTTTTCAAATGAAAACAAAATTGTGCAGAGGATAAAAGGCAGACCCGCCAAGGAGCCTTTCTGTGGTTGACCCTGGCCAGAGGTGTGACACTCAGAACTGGGAGGCCGAGTGTTACTAACCCGTATTTCATCGGTTTTTTTAAGACTGAAGTGGCCACCTCCCCGTCCGGCGCCTGGCAGAGGCTCCACAGAGTCAACCAGGATCTGCACGGCGAGCTGGAGGCCCAGTGCCAGCGCCAGGAGCTCATCACGCGGCAGATCCAGGCCCTGAAGCGCAGCTACGGGGAGGCCAAGGACGCGATCCGGCACCACGAGGCCGAGATCCGGAGCCTCCAGGCGCGGCTCGGCAGCGCCGCCGCCGAGCTCACCGTCAAGGCGCGGGCGCTGGCCGAGCTGACGCTGGAGAAGGACCGGGTCCGCGAGCAGCTGGAGGAGCGGCAGCACAGCGAAGCAGCGCTCAGCGCACAGCTGCGTGCCAGCGAGCGGAAGCTCCAGAGCACAGAGGCCCTGCTGCTGGGGAGGACGCAGGAGCTGCGGGACCTGGAGAGGCAGCAGGCGCTGCAGCGGGACCGGCAGAAGGAGGTGCAGAGGCTGCAGGAGCGCGTCGCCGACCTTAGCCGGCAGCTCAGCACCGGCGAGCGGGCCCAGGGGCTGATGGAGGAGAAGCTGCGGAGGAACTACGAGCTGCTGCTGGGGAGCTGCGAGCGGGAGAAGCAGGAGCTTCTGCGGAGCCTGAGGGAGGCGGAGGACAGGGCCAGCGCCTTCGAGGACCGGCTCCAGGGCCACGCGCAGCAGATGGAGGTCCTGCAGAAGGAGAAGCTGAGTGCCAAGTCCGAGGGCAGCGAGGTGGTGCACCGGCTGGAGGAGCAGCTGGAGATGAAGGAGGCCAGCATCCAGAAGCTGGCCGAGCACGTCCAGAGCCTCCGAGACGAGCGGGACCTGATCCGGCAGCGCTTCCAAGAGCTGGTGGGCCGCGTCGCCTTGTCCGACGGGGACGTGGCCGCGCTTCAGGAGAAGCTGAAGGGGAGGGAGGCTGACTACCAAAGCCTGGAGCGCTCCTACAGGAGGGTGGCCAGCCAGCTCCAGGGCGCGCACACGCGGCTCCGGGAGAAGGAGCAGGAGCTGAGGTGCATCCAGGACGCGCACGAGAAGGCGCTGGCGAGGAAAGAGCGGGATCTCCAGGATGTGCTGGTTAAGACGACTGCCTTGGGGAGCAGCTTAGAGGAAACAGAAGTGAAGCTCCAGGCAAAGGAAGAGATCGCAAGGCAGTCTGCCAAGGAGTCCTCAGAGGACGCTGAGGAGCCACGGAGCTTCTTGGAAGAAGCCGAGGAGGAGGACGGCGTCGCGCGTTCGGGCCCACAGCTCCGGGCTGCCAGCGCACCTCCGTGGGCTGCACTGGGGGAGGAGCACAGGGACAGCAGCCCCAGGAGAGAAAAGAGCCCAGTGCCCCCGAGGTCGGAAGTGTCTGACAGGGAGGGGCACCCGCAGAGCACCTCAAAACCCGACCAGGGAGCACCCGGCCTTAAGAGGCAAAGAATCCGGTTCTCCACGATCCAGTGCCAAAAGTACACCCACCCTGACGGGTCTGAGAGGACCTGGACCAGCAGCACGTCCTCTGACACCAGTCAGGACCGCTCGCCCTCGGAGGAAAGCATGTCGTCGGAGGCCACCCCCAGCTCGCTCCCAGCGACCAGCGACTCGGACACCTACCTGTCCATCATCCACTCCCTGGAGACCAAGCTCTACGTCACCGAGGAGAAGCTCAAAGATGTGACGGTGAAGCTGGAGAGCCAGCAGGGCCAGAGCCAGGAGGCCCTGCTCGCCCTGCACCAGCAGTGGGCTGGCACCGAGGCACGGCTGCGCGAGCAGCTCCGTGCCAGCCTGCTCCAGGTCGCCGCGCTGGCCTCCCAGCTGGAGCAGGAGAGACAGGCGAGGGCGGAGGTGGTTGAGAACCACGTCGAGGAGCTCGGTGACTTCCGGGTGAAGAACAGCCAGGCCCTGGCTTGCCTGGAAAGCTGCCGGGAACAGCTGCGGTCTCTGCCGGGTGACGCAGGGGCGGGGCTCCTGGCCGGCGTGGAGAGCTTGCTGGTCGGCGCCATCCAGGCCCTGTGTCACCAGCCGGCTCCCACAGGGGAGGCGGGTTTCTTGGAGGAAGGGACAGCGACCTCACGGCAGCCACCACACCTGCCGGAGCTGAGCGACCAGGAGCAGCTCCAGCTCCTTTCTGATCAGATAGCTCTGGAAGCCACGCTGATAGACCAGATAGCAGACTCACTGAAAAACACCACTTCCGACATCTCGCACGTGCTCCTCGAGATCTCTCAGTCCGGAAAGGGGCCGTTGGAGTCCGAAAGTGCTGTGGCCTGTCCTGGGGCCCCAGTGGATGCCTGGGCCAAGAAAGTGCTGGTGGATGGAGAATTCTGGAGCCAGGTCGAGTCCCTGAGCCGGCACCTGGAGACACTGGGCGGAGAGGCAGCCAGTGCCTCGGGAGGTGGGCGGCCGAGCGCCCTGCCAGCCCCGGTCCCTGCCCTGGCCGACGCCACGTGGGTCAGGGCGGAGCTCAGCCTTGCCGTGCGTTCGGTGAGGGGGTCCTTCCACCGCAGGCTGCAGAGCATCCAGGAGACCCTCCAGGGGACACAGGCAGCCCTGCAGCAGCACAAGCGCATGCTGGGGGAGATCCTAGGGGCCTACCAGACACCCGACTTCGAGAGAGTGATGCTGCAGGTCTCGGAAACCCTCCAGCTTCCAGCAGGTGCCGGAGATGGTGTCCAGGTGTCCTGGACTGGGAGCCTGCCGGAAGTACCAAGTCATCAGGACCCAGCTGGCTCGCAGCCTCTCTGTCCCTTGTCCAGCCGGAGCTCTGGGGCCTTGGTTGCTATTCAGGAAGAGCTCGCCCTGCAGCTTAAAGATAAGGCCAGTCTCTTGGGAGAGATCTCTGCCACTTTGACCTCACTTCTGTCTGTGGAGGCGGTGCGAGACTGCCAGAAGCTTCTCCAGGCGTCCCGGCATCTCTCCCGTAGCGCTCGTCTGGGAGGCCTCGGCCAGTATTCTTCCTTATTAGTCCAAGATGCGATTATTCAGGCTCAGGTGTGTTACACAGCCTGCAGGATCCGGCTGGAGTATGAAAAGGAGCTCCGGGGCTACAGGGAGTCCTGGCCGGGCGGGGGGTCCTCCTGTCAGGAGCACGAGCACGCTGTGGGGGCCCTGAGGGAGGAGTACGAGGGGCTTCTCCGCAAGCAGAAGAGCGAGTACCTGGAGCTGATCGCCATCGTTGAACGGGAGAACGCGGAGCTCAAGACCAAGGTCGCCCAGCTGGGCCAGCAGCAGAGGCGTCTGGAAGAGGGGCAGAGTGAGTGCAGTGAGAGCCTGGCTGCCCCACGAGGGTGGTTTGAGGAGTGGAAGGTCAGCTACACAGGGGAGCGGCTGAGCCGGGCGGAGGGTGCACCGCAGGCTGTGCGTGGCAGGGTCCTGAGCCAGCTGGATGCCTTGGCCGGGGACAGGCAGGACCTGGAGAGGCAGCCTGTGGACCAGGTGCAGACCCTGGAGGACAAGTTCCAGCTCAAGATCAGGGAGCTGCAGGCCATCCATGAGGAGGAGCTGCGGGCCCTGCAGGAGCATTACTCTCAGACGCTGCGGTGCCTGCAGGAGACCCTGCACCACTACCAGGGGCGGCCCCCTGCCGCCCCACCAGCCCACGGACCCCCGTCCTCCAGCCGGCCAGCTGAGGGGGAGGCCGACTCCATGATGGGGCTGAAGGGGCGCATCCAGGAGTTGGAGGCCCAGGTGGACGTCCTGCGGGAAGCACTGGAGCACAAGGACCTGGCGGGTGGCGCGGCCTCACTGCGGGAAGAGCGCCAGAGGGACTTTGAGAGCCTCAAGGTTTCGAAGCAGAGCGGTCGGGGGGGGCGTCCAGCGCAGGCGGAGCTGGGACACGGCTCTTGGCTCCAAGTCACCGAACAGCAGAAGGAGCTGATGGGCTGTTCCCCACTTGACCTCCCGCTGGCTGCGGTGGGGTCCCAGCGGGGCCTGGCGAGGCAGGGTGGTGGGGAAGCTCCCCCACTGCCCCCACCTCCGGGCTGTGCAGACCTGGACCTGGGGAGGGTCCTCTCCTTCCTGCTGTCCTAGGAGAGCAGAGTTGGGCTTCCCGAAGGCTAGAATGTTTGCAGTGGGGTGTTGAGGGCCACTCCCCTCCCCAGTTCTGTGGGGACAGACGTCTGGTGGGAACCCTGCATGGGAACGGCTGCTCTTACAGGGAGCACAGCCTTATTTGCTCCAGGGGTTTTGAGAAGTGACCTTCACCCCAACCCCGTTTCACACCCACCTTGGTAGACAGGATTCCCAGGCCCTGGCCCATCAAGGTGACGCTTCGGGCCCTGGGGCGTTGGGCCGTGTGGAGCCATCGGGGCAGCCTGGGCTCTGGGCCTCGTCCTCTCGGGCTTCTCGCCACCCCTTGAGCTGCATCCAGTAGACGCCAGGCTCTTCCCGTGCCCTCCGTCCCCAGCCCCGTCCTCCAGCTGTGAGCCGGCACTGCGTCCAGTACTGAGGGCAGCCCGGCGCTGCTGCGACAAGCAGGCGGGCCGTTAGTGCCTGCCAGGCCGTTTCCACTGCTCTCTTCCCAAGTCAGTCCAAACCTTTTGAAGCCCATTTCTGGATCCCAAGGAAGCTTCAAGGGCTGTTGGAAAGTGCCACACAGTCCCCGTGCGGCCGGCGCATACCAGTGCCGCGTTGAAAGTAATTTCCCGGCCGCTTCCCACAGCACCCAGCGCGTCTGCGCAGCAGGAAACTCAGACAAGGCCCAGACTGGCTTTCACGCCCGTCGGCACGAACCCGGGAGGGAGGAAAGCCCTGGGCTGACACTGGGGGCAGGCTCTGCCCCGGCGGTGATGCAGGCTGGGGCTTGGATGCTGCCTGCTGTGGGCGGCGTCCTCTGTCCTGTGCCTATTCTTGTTGGGCCCTGTGAGACACGCAGAAATTACAACCAAACCGCTCTCTTGGGGCCCGGCTGACAGCTGTTACTTGTGCAGATTTCTGCCCAGGTCAGGGAGGCTGGGGTCTTGGCCTGAGGGCCCCTCTGCTGATAGCTGAAGGCTGGTGCTTTTTCTCACGACTCGACTCTGCACCGTGGTTGCCGAGGGAACTTTGATCCCAGGGATTACTTACTGGCTTAAAAATTAGATTAATTGTTTCTTAAACACATATACTCTCCAAGGAAGCAGCCAGTCTTTAAAGGCACCTTAGTGTTTCTGTGGGAAGAATTTTGACCCTTATCTTTATTCTAAAGCCCTCAAATCAAACTAAGACCTCGCAGCTATGTGTTAACCGAGAGTCCACGTTGAACCACAGCGTGCGAGGGGGCAGCGCTAGGACCCTCCAGTGTCCCGGGGTGTGAGGGCAGTGAGAGGAGACGGCAGCTTCCAGGTGGAGCCCCTGCAAGAAGAAACGCCCAGTGAGTGGCGCACAGCACTTAAGACCACTTACTTCCCCAGTGAAGCAAATCTGTCGCAGGGAAGTCCAGACTCTGACCATGAGTTTGAAAAGTACTGACTGGAGGGTCTCAGATGGGCCTCTCAGTCACCGTGGGGGCTGAGACAGAGGTGCCCGCACACGGAGGCTGGATTTCTTGGTACCCTTTCTTGATCCATGTGCAAGTACAGGATTGGGAGGAGGATCCCACCCATACTTGGATTTGGAATTAACGTGGCCACATTCTTCCAGTTTTTAAGGATCAGTGAAAGGCGCGATCCCTACTTGGAAACAGATCTTGCAAGGGACTTAGACAAGAAATGTGCCTCCACGCACAGAACGGCTGCACAGACCACCCCTCATACCCACCCCCCATCAGTGAGACCAACTGATAAGCCAGGCCTGGGTTACTACACAGTGAGGGGGTGTGGGGTGGTCTGGTGAGCCCTTCTTATTAGGTCATGCATGCCTGTGTCCTTCCCCACACCCATGTCTAGGTCAAACACCAAGCCAGGCTGCAGCGAGGCACAGACAGGTTTGGAGAGTAGCTCTTCCGTCGTGGGTCTCGGTACAGTTAGCAGAGGCACTCGTTAATTAGTGCCCCCTCTTTGTACTCCTTCCAAAGGAAAAGGAAAAGTACACCCTAGCCTAATTTCCTCAGTGGACGCCTGAGAGGTTCAGTGACCCGGTGGGGGCGGCCAGCTGGGCAGTGGCATGGCTGGGCCCCCTGGCTCCGTGCACTGGGCTACCCGCTACCCGTCACGCACAGGATGGCCTTGGCTCCCTGCGGCTGACAAAGACCTTACTGTTGATGACTGTGCTCGATGCCCATGAAACGCAGATCAGACGCGGCCAGCCTCTGCCCGTTCCCTCTGTCCTTCCCCCTCCTGTCGGTCCATAAAGGTCCAGGATTGGCTATTTTAAATTCTACTGCGGCCCTTTCCTGCCCACGATACCAGCTCTTTCTGCAGAGAAATGGGGTGCACAACCACAGAAATCAGGCTCGCTCTCTCTTTTCTAAATGCTCTGGGGGCAGGGAGCACGCAGGAGCAGAGTGCGTCTCCGGACAGCTGGTGCGGGGCTCAGCCCAAGAGAGCACTTTCTCTGTGCCGGGAGCCTGGAGGGCAGGGCTGAGGGCTGGCCAGTAAACAGCAGAAGAAAAGTCCGCAAAGCCTCTTGTGCACCTTGCAGGCCACGTGCGAGCGAGGGTTTGCAGCCATGGAAGAAACGCACCAGAAGAAGATCGAAGAGCTGCAGAGGCAGCACCAGCGGGAACTGGAGAAGCTGCGGGAGGAGAAGGACCGCCTCCTGGCCGAGGAGACGGCGGCCACCATCTCAGGTGGGGCCGCGAGCCGCGGGCGCGCGCAGCGGGGCCCTACTGCGCGGATCGCACGGCCCTCAGCAGCGACTGGCCCTCTCACCGTCTGTCGGCTGAGATTGAAGCCCCGTCACCCACGAGAACTCCTGGGCAGTTCTCTTGAGGGAAAGGCTTGTTTGAGGAGCCCTTTGAGAGCTCGAGCGCCCCGCGCCAGCGCTCCCGCTTTCTGTGGCCGCCGGCGCACCCGGTGCTCACGAGGGGCTGCCCTGGTCTCATCGGCCCGTCTGCTGGCACTTCTCCGGCAGCGGACACCTCTGCCCGCGGCCCTTGGTGCCTCAGAGCCCAGAGCGTCCGGACTGAGCCCTGGGCCTTTGGCCTGTGTCCCCTCCGTTCATGTAACTATCCTGCGGTGGTTTTGATTTTGGCACTAAGAAAACAGGCCCAGCCTGAAAGCCTGCTTGTCCTACAAACTCGTACTTGCATTTAACATTGACATTTACTGACTCAGTTTGGTTTTCTGTTAACATCAAGAAAACAACACACCTGCATCCCTTTCGTGAGGGAATTCCCCGGGGATCCTCCTGGCCCAACTGCCAGCGGGCTGCCATTAGCAGTGGGGGGATGTCCCGCCTGCCTGTCGGTCTCGCCTCCCAAGCCCGTGGGTGCTGAGGGCCACATCCTGTCCACAGCCATCGAAGCCATGAAGAATGCCCACCGCGAGGAGATGGAACGGGAGCTGGAGAAGAGCCAGCGGTCCCAGATCAGCAGCGTCAACGCGGACATCGATGCCCTGCAGCGGCAGTACCTGTGAGTCAGCGGAGGTGGCCTTTGCGGGCCGGGCCGGAACCTTCCCTGTAAGAGCCACAGAGACTCGGGTCCCCAGGGTGGTGCAGGTGGAGGCCCGTGGGCGCTGAGGCTGCTCAGAGCCTCCTTCCTGAGGGGCCCAGCACCACCCTGGGGGTCAGCGAGCCACTGCTCTCATGGCCCAACTGGGCTCCTGTTACTGAGTCAGACAGCCACCAGTTACTAAAAGGTAAAGACGACGACGTGGCAGAGGAGATTTTATAAATACTGTCGGATCTTCAGGGCCGACCTCAGAGGCTACCCCAGATCCCTTCTGTCCGTCAGCTGCTGCTGCTTCAGGAGTTCGGGAGTTCGTGGGGAGGGGACGCGGTGTAGCGCGTGACACAGATGCTCTGTGGCTGTGCGTGGCAGAAGTGGCCCCGACCCCTACGTTTTTCAGAAGCGCGTGTGCCAGTTCTATTTGCAGAGGCAAGGGAATGGGGGGCGCTCACCAGCACGGCCACTCTTTACTTTTGCCCTCAGTGGAACTCGCACCACTCGGAGCGCCTCGACTGGCTGCTGCAGGGGCCGTGCAGAGCCAGCCTTCATGGGGCTCCGCAACGCAGAGAGTCAGGGTCTCCCCTCTCCCGGGCTCCCGTGCAGTGCGCTCAGGGCGCAGGTGGGTGGGCAGGCGGCCGGGAGCAGCTCACCTCTGCTGGAGTGGGTGTCGGTTCCACAGTACCAGCCCTTCTCAAGTCCAGGGTGGCCGAGAACGACGTCACGAGGCTTTGGTTTTCTGAACGTGGATCGAATTGGCACAGTGCTAGAAACGGTCCCAGGTCTGACCTCTCTCTGACACAGCGTGTTTTGGGGTGCGTGGGTGAGGCCTCCTGACCCTGGGAGAGGAGTGCCGCCCGTGGGGGCTGTTCAACTGCTGGTAACAGCACAGGGACGGAGCCGCCGAGCTGCATGGCCACTCGAGACCACAGGGTGCAGGGCTCTGCTCGCGGTCGCTCCGCTGTGTGGGTCTCGGCATCCTTGAGGCTTCGCGAAGGGGACTCTGAGCTTCTTAGAGGCCTGGGCCCCGGGGCGAGGGCAGAGGAGTGAGCAGTGCCCTCTCCCCAGGGAGGAGCTGCAGTCTGTGCAGCGCGAGCTGGAGGTCCTCTCTGAGCAGTACTCGCAGAAGTGCCTGGAGAACGCCCACCTGGCCCAGGCGCTGGAGGCCGAGCGGCAGGCCCTGCGGCAGTGCCAGCGCGAGAACCAGGAGCTCAACGCCCACAACCAGGTGCGCCGCACTGGGGCCCCAATCTGCAGGCATCTCCCGACGTCTGGCGTCACCGGGGTGTGGACAGGAGCTCCCTGCAGCTGCTGGAGTTGAGCCCCTCCTGCTCCACAGCCGGCCGCTGGCCTTGGGGTCTGGAGGCTCCGAGATGTCTGTTCCTCCTCCGTGGTTGCTGGGCGGCACGGGTCCAGGTCTCCCGTCCCCACGGCTGGGACCGTGTTTAAACACCTCCCAGTCAAGACCATACACTGCTCGCATTTGATTCTGTCAGATTATTCCCTTAAAATGTGCCTGCTCCTGGGCTTCCCTGGTGGCGCAGTGGTTGAGAGTCCGCCTGCCAATGCAGGGGACGCGGGTTCGTGCCCCGGTCCGGGAAGATCCCACATGCCGCGGAGCGGCTGGGCCCGTGAGCCGTGGCCGCTGAGCCTGCGCATCCGGAGCCTGTGCTCCGCAACGGGAGAGGCCACAGCAGTGAGAGGCCCGCGCACTGCAAAAACAAAAAAAAATGTGCCTGCTCCATAGAAAACTGGGGTACATTTAAAATACTGGCTAATGGAACAGCTCAAGGTAGGTCTAGTTTCAAAAAAGCTTCTCTGTGGGTACAAGACCCCTCGTCCTCCCCCCGCACTGAGAAGACAGCCATGTTGGCCTGGCCCAGGCTCGAGGCCTCTGTGGGCCCACGGCTGCCCATATGTGGGGGTCACTCCAGCAGGACTGGTTCTGCTTGGTCACTGCAGTGGCCTGAGACGACCACCTGCTAGCTGGAAAGAAGGTACAGAAAGAGAGTGGTGAGGGTGGCAGGAGGTCCTGATCCTGCAGAAACTCAGGAGCACAAATCCTGGAACTGATTAACACTAGTCACGGTGACAGAAAGGGGCTGAGGAGCATGGATCCTGCAGCTGCAGTTCCACAAAAGCATCAGGCCGTGTAAATGGCTTTGGCAAGGGTGTCCACACTGACTCTGAGATGCCACCGTGCACAGGCACCGCTGCAGGCCTCCCATGCTGCATGCTACCCTGGCCGCGCCCTGTGTTCGTGGCCAAACAGCTCCGTAGAGCACCCTGTTTGGTTGTGTTGCTGTCCCCCAGGAGCTGAACAACCGCCTGGCTGCTGAAATCTCACGGCTACGGACGCTGCTGACCGGGGACGCCGGTGGCGAGGCTGCTGGTTCACCTCTCACGCAGGGCAAGGACGCCTATGAGTTAGAGGTACGGCTCAGAGCCAGGTTCCTCTTTACCAGCTCACACCATACAAGCCCCTAGCTTATGGACAGCAAGAGGGGGAGAACCTGGAAAGACCCGAGTCATGCCAGGATGCAAAAGAGTTAGCTGCCAGGCAGCGTGGGACCCCTCACGAGGCCCCAGGGACCTTTAACCCATCCTCACTCACCTGCCCTCCGCCCCTCTGTTCTACCACGTCACAAACACTGACCAACTAAAATGAAACATTGAATAACTGTGTGAACAGTGCAGCTGCTTGAGATTCTTAAGGCTGTATTACTCAAGATCAGGAAGGTTCATTTTAAGTCAGAATGATTGCTTCTTATGTACAAGGTGTTCCTTTATGAAAGCACTTAGACTTTTCCCCGTTCAATTAAAATTTCCTGAAACCATCTCTTCCTAAATGATGGGAGAGGCTGACCCGAGGTCTCTGCGGGACCCCTTCCGGGGGCTCTGTGCCAGGAGCTCCCGGGCTGAGGACGAGGCTCTCGGGTCAGAAGGGGTCACGGCCGTTTCTTCCTGACAAGGACCGGGAGAAAGCTGCCCGCCCACCGGCGTGTGGAGGCGAGTCCTCCGTGTGGCTCAGTCTTTGCTTTCGAGGCCCTGGCAGTCCCTCTGCTCCCGAACGTGAGTCTCTTAATTTCTCTCTCTTTCTAGGTCTTATTGCGGGTCAAGGAATCAGAAATTCAGTACCTGAAACAGGAGATCAGCTCCCTCAAGGATGAGCTACAGACGGCGCTGCGGGTAACTCAAGTCCCCACCCGTGGACCTGGGGGATGGGCTCCGGATGGGGCGGGGCCACGCGTGTCCAGAGTCACGTGTAGCAGCTCTGAAGTCGCTCTCACTTCCACGAGAAGAATGGCGGCCTGCAGGCGGGCCCGGCAGGAACAAGGGGCCGTCCCCGCGCCCGCCACGTGCCGGGGCAGGGACCCGAGACCCAAGCACACTGTTGCCTCCTGCGGGCGCTCCTGGAGGCCAAGTCACTTAGGGGATCCAAGACACGGGGGTTTTCCAGCCTGAAGCCACACAGAGGTCCTCGGGGCTCAAAGCGGCACCAGCCTGGCTAAAGCCCGGGGCCCTGCCGTGCCTGTTCCACTCTGTGTCCAGTTTCTGCCTCTGGAAGGCGGGGGTTGGCCTGCCTTCTCTGCTGCCGGGCCCGTCCCCAGTCCCCCCCGAAGCGCTCTGGCCCCAGGAGGACGGGCCACCCAACCTGGCTGCAGCTGCTCTTTGTCCTTCCGTCCCCAAGGACAAGAAGTACGCTAGTGACAAGTACAAGGACATCTACACAGAGCTCAGCATCGTGAGGGCGAAGGCCGACTGTGACGTCAGCAGGCTGCAGGAGCAGCTGAAAGCCGCGACCGACGCGCTGGGTGAAAGGTCACCGGAACACACCCCCGTGTCCGGCTACGGTGAGTCCTCCAGCTCTGGATTCTGACTCAGTAACTCGCGCTGATTTAGTCCTGGAGCTGCTGGCGCTTGATGCAAGGAAGAGGGGTCCTTTTCTGTGTTAGACTAACTTCCTGGTAGGGCACAGTAGGCGCCCGGCTCTCGGGCCCTCCTGGTTGGGAAGCCCTTCTCCGACGCTGCACTGGTTGCCCTGAAGGACAGTCATACCTCGCGGTGTGTGTTTACAGTGACAGCGGCTGTGTTTCCCATTTTCCTGAACAGT